TCAAATGCAATCAATGACACATACATCATCATCGCATCTCGTGCGCCACTGATAAGGCTGCCTGATGGCTGACGCAGACCTTAAATTCAAATGCAACGCTTTTGCATTCGAATGTGGATTTTTTAATTTTTTTATTTGACGAATATTCGAAATTCATAAACATTTTTGACAGCCCTAATGCCTATACATAATATGAACATAACCGACTTAAGTACATTATGTATTATAACAAATTCCTGCAGAGGGCGACACTGGCCTGGTGACGTTTCACTTTACAGCGTGATTAAACGATCTTTAAATCCATTTAATTTTAATATTTGGCCACATACAAACTCAGAAACCTTTATTTTGAAATTGCGATGTACAATAAATGGCATATTTAGAAATAGGTTGAAGTATTCTCCTGTGTTGGCAAAGGTTTATAGATGATTTACGTTACAAATCTAGTGAGAATGCACACTGTTTTCCCAGATGAACGTTAAGCAATTCAAACTCACAGCATATGCAGAGGATGAGTCACAAAGACAGACTTTACTGGTAAATTACCGGTAAGTTACCATTAAGAGATAGAGATCATGTGTGAACAGGACCTTTTCAAAAACCCCGGTAAATTTGTTCTGGCAATCATGTCGTTATTATGGAGATGACGTGATTACTCTGAGCTGTTTACAAAGCTACACAGCTTTTTAATGAGTTTTTCTATGTAAATATGCGCTAGATGTACATCTTTGTTCATTGCGCCTCACAGCTTTTTGTCGCACTTCTTCATTCATCAGGGCTGCGATGCGCGTCTCGGGTTTATAAGAGCAAAACATTCTGATTGGCTAGTAATGTTAGTTTGTTTGAGAGGAGTACGAGAGTGATACCGGCTCTATATCAGCATGGCTGTGATTAGGCCAGAGGCACGAGGCCGCTGATATAGAGCCGGTATCGCTCGAGTGATATTGCGTTTATACAACAGTTCGACGGAACATAATAGTGTGTAATTAAACAAGAATCACACTAATTAAAATAAAGCTGAAATAAAATACAAATATTAGACAAAAAAGTATTTTAATTAATTGCAAAGGCAACATTTCTGTTAACTGTTAAAATAACATAAATAAATTAATTAATAAATAAATGAAACCTAAATAATAATATATTAATTAATTAATTAATTAACAAATTAATAAATAAATCACAAAAGCACACAACAAATTTACTAGAAATTTAAATAAAATGGAAACAAAAAGTAAAATAATAATAATAATAAAAGCAAATTCAAATATGAATAAAACCTATAATAGTATATGAAACATTACTCTAATAACACTGGTTCATACCTGCTTAACAGCTTTTGGCGTCTCCTGGACTTCTGTAAAATTGAATTGAGAGACAAATAATGCATGATTTGGTTGGTTAAACAACACACGTCATCTTGCACATGAAGGAATCTGAGACGCTCGCACCTTTCTTGAGCAGTTTGGCCACACCTGAGTCCGGTGTTTCTGGAGACGTAGCAGAGTTGCCTCCTTCATCGATGAGCTGGATCTGAAGAAAGAAACCAAGAGATGCATGACTATGTCTGTCAGTGTGGATTCACACTTTTGTCTCCTGTGAGAAACCAGACTGCTTCCCTGTGAGGATGTTCACAGGCCTTGATGTCAGGATAGAGAGGCTGGTTTATATCCGCACACGCTGGCTTCAGCACAGGTTTGGGTGGCAAAGGCAGTTTCTCACTCAAAGATGAGTGATGATTCCAGAAGATCTGCAATATACTGCACGAGTCATTTGGGCATGAGTTGTTTTGTTCTGGACTTTATGGACGCTGTCACTGCGGTGAGACACTACAGGCAAAACCACTTTTTCATGCACTGGTCAGTTTAGAAATTTAGGTGTATTTTGCTGGATTTTCTGATTTATGGAGTGATAAAAAGAGTAATCCAGAATCCCCTTTGGAAAAACCTTTAACTCTAATATGACTACAAAATGACACAAGAACTTTGAACATGGCTTTATCTGGTCATAAGTAGCACAGGTATATTTGTAGCAATAGCCAACAATACACTATTATGCGCGTCTCGTGTTTATAAGAGCAAAACATTCTGATTGGCTAGTAATGTTAGTTTGTTTGAGAGTGAAAGCTGTGCTCCTCTCATACCATTGGTAGGCGAACTTATGGACTCGAAAGTGATATCAATAAGTTTTTTTTAAATGCAGGATTATTTTTTTCCACAGCCAAACTCTGCATGCCGGAGAACTTTAAGCCCTGATATCTATATCTATATATATCTATATATATCTATATCTATATATATCTATATCTATATCTATATCTATCTATCTATATATCTATCTATATCTATATATCTCT